TACCAAATAAGAGTCTTGTATCTTGTTGTGGAGCTTAGTTATGGCAATTTATTTTTGAATAATGGCGTTTTGTGGGCGTGGCAGGGGTCCGATTACGCCCATCTGCAATACCAACCGTCTCACGGTATCAAAAAACATGTCTACCAAGTTTCATAAAGATATCTCAATTTTTACTCAAGTTAGAGCTTGCACGGACGGACGGACAGACGGACGGACGGACAGATAGTCACCCGGATTTCAACTCGTCTCTTCATCCTGATCATCATACATAACCCTATATCTAACTCGATTAGTTTTAGGTGATACAAACAACCGTTAGGTGAACAAAACTATTATACTCTGTAGCAACAGGTTGCGAGAGTATGAAAATCATATATTGGAGTACATATACATACCTCGAACTTGTACCTAAATAGTTTATGTTCAGTCGTTCAAATTGCTGAGTACATATATATGTGCGTTATAAGAGCTCTTGCAATGTATGTATATATTTGATTCAAGGATATCGGATTGCGACCTCCCAAAATTCATTGGCTTTGCGGTGGCAATTATCGAACATTAATACCTTCTTGTTGAATCGGTTCGAACACTTGCGCGCGCTATCTGAGAACTATGTCATATGTCATTGCTCTTGTTGCAGTCGTAATACAGTGGGCAGTAATATATTGCAGACTAGTTCCCGCCGCCAGGCTACAGTTTGCTGTCATGCTGCCAATGCTACTGCCGCAGCAGCTACGCTCGTTTAAGCAAAAGATTTAGTTGGCAATGAAGGCCGAACAGTCGCAAGCTCCGAAAATTTCAGAGCACTTGACCTAACTAACAACTATTCACCTATGTTGTATTTTTGTTTATATCAATTCTTGTTGTTATTAGTACCGTGAGTGCAATTAGCTCTAATTAAGCACTCTATACGTCGCGTTTATCGAGGCGATTTTTCATTTGTCAACTGCAATCGAAATATTAATTCGACGCAATTTGCATAACAAATCGACCAGTTGTTGCTACGAGTATTACAATGTAGAATACAACTCTTATCGGAGTAAGTGCACACATACGATCTTACTCTTAAAAAAATTATTTTTGGTGTCGACATTGTAAAAGATGACTCATTTTCAAAGGACATCATCATATAGTATACATACTTGTAATTATATAAACAAGAAATAACGTTGACTTCGGTTGCATCGAAACTTTAATACCCATCACAAGTTCAAGTTCTCCTTACAAGAACTAAATCGGCTCGTCACGCTGATCACTTATGCATATATTTTATAGGGTCTCCGAGATTTCCTTTTTGGGTGTTACAAACTTCGTGGCAAACTTAATACACCCTGTTCAAGATATAAAAATCTAAATAACTCAGTGGTGATTTAAACTGCATTTGAATGTATATAAAATTTTGTTAATTCAAAACTGTTACAGAAACTTACCCTTCAGATGTTTCAAATTTTTTCATATATTCATTTTAGATGTACACTGGTCCTTCCACCTTCTTGAAATAGTTGATCTCGATCTGGTCTCTTAGTGCAGACCAGAAAAAACATAACCGACCACACAAACATACAAATCGTTAAAAACATTCACCTACATTTAAACGGTCTTTCAACTAACAAACCTGGACCTTTTTCACACTCAGTGTACTTTCAGGCATATTCACATTGAATTCGGCAACATTCTTTGCATACTAAAACAGCAATTCGTAAAATGAAAAGTTAACAAAACGAATGTGTATGAGTTCAGCCGAGTTGTATCCTCGGCTCGTTGTCTGCCCGTGGCACATTTGCAATCGCCAGTGTCAATGCCAAGTTGTACGATGGCCTTGACAACAGCATTGACTCTGAACTTATGTATTTACCACTCCACTTTAAAAAGGGAAACTTTTACATACATACATTTTCTTTATAAATTTTAGCAAATATTAAGTTGTTCATTGCAGAAATTATTGCAAAAGGACGATACCTTAGTGTTTCTCCAAAAATTTGTTTCTCAGAAATCTCAATTTACTCTCATCAGTTAGATAATTACTTGAGCGCCCACCTGGATTTAAACATAATTTTATGAGATTTGTTGTAATTCATAGTTAAATTGTTCAAAGATTTTAAGTAGCTCAAAATTACTTAAATTTATAGGCATCGCAAAGATATAGATGTAGTAAAAAGAAATCGATTTATATAAGTCCGAACGGGTTCGGCGTTAGAAAAATAACATTTTGTACTGGAACAGCTATTCTGACAGTTTTGTGATTGGTTGATTCAGTTTTGTTGCAGCGCGCCTCAAAGATGGGCACTAGCAAAGAAAAAATAGCTATATTTTACAGTTTTTCTTCGATAAGGGTGAAACCCAAGCCAGGCGGCTGAAAATGTAAATAGCGGTAATGGTCCTGATACTGTAACAGCCAATCATGCGAAATTTTTGTTTCGTCGCTCACGCTCTGGAAGACCAATTATCGAAAAACTCGATCAAATAATGAAAATCGTCGAGTCCAAACATCGATTACGATTGTCCAGGACCTAAACATTGCACAAAAAACCGTTTGGAACCATTTGAATATGGCTGGATACGAAAAGTAATAATTAAAGCATTCAATTTCATGCAAAAATATTTAATTTATTTTTACTACACCTAATATATAACTCCGAACAACCACCTAAGACCAAATAAATAATATGGCAGAGTCTACAACGAAAAGTTAGCTTTATCCTTTAGGCTCCTATATATTAAAACGAATTAATCGTTTTAAAGATTAAATTTAATTTCGGTTTTGTATAGGGCTTATGTTGGGTTAAACAGTTAATGCTGATCCGGCAAGTTTTCTTTTTATCCGCTACAAATTGCCTAGACCTTACTAGCAAATATGCACATATACATATAGGGAACTCTGAGTTCTGAATGTTTATTTTCTTAAAAGATTGTAAATTCTATTTCTTAAAATGCTGCAAATGTACAATAATAAAATATATCAAAACAACAAATTAAATAGGCGTATGTTAATATAATTTTAATCCCAAGCCACAACAAGGACATGTTCCGGGTGAAATCGAACATTTTATACTCTCGCAAAATGCAATGATCAAAGTAGGGCATATACCTATTTTCAGGAGTTAGGAAAGTTGTATACCAAATAAGTAAGTAAGCGCTAAGTTGGGGTGTAACCGAACATTTCATACTCTTGTAACCTGCAAGGGTCACAGCCGGCTGAAAGCCTTCAGGTGTTGGCAAAACTTTTTCCTAAGAAAGGTTAAATCTCATTGTTCGACGAAATCGCGAATGGATAGCAATCAAATTTTGTATCGTATTAACTTATACTCAAATCGATGGGGGCATAGAAACGGGAGGGCGGATCGCATTAATTTTTTAACATCGCTCAGGTATACTTGAGAACTTATTTTTAAGAAAATTTGTAAATAGATATACCTATAAATATAAGCATATATGTGGAGTAAAGTCAGTCGGAAGTTTCAAAATCCTGAGTATCAGTTATATTGGGCTTGGGCATGTTTTCACCCGATTTTATTCATTTTAGGCACCAAGATACACTGTCATTAGAAAAGTACGCTCTCTCAATTTCATTAAAATGACTCTCATATTGGCCTATGTATGTGGTATAAAGTCAACTGGAAGTTCGAAAATCTTTATATAATATTAGGTATATGGGCGCTAAGGGAAGTATAGATCCGATTCAATCCATTTCTGACACAAGGGTAAATTACAAGTATTAGCAAAAACAACATTTTCTCCAAATTTCAATTATATTACACAAGTTGACCGATATTTTCGGCAAAAAGTCAGCCATAGGCTCTGGGGCCCACGTTTCCTGTATCTGGAGGCTTGAATAGTTATGGACCGATGTTGACAATTTTTAAACCTGAGAAGGCATACCTTAAAGGAAATATTCCGGCAAATGTTCATCCCGATATATTAATTGGTACATGATTTGTATACTATAAAGTGAAAAAATCAGTTGTTATTAAAAGTTGTGTTATACGAGAAGTAGGTGTGGGTGTAGTCCAATTTCCTGCACTTTTGCATCATAACATAGGAACATTAAAAGAATTTTATGTACCGAGTTTGGTTAAAATCGGTGGAGCAGGTCACATATGTGATATCACCTAAAAGTGGGCGGTGCCACGCACATCATCTAATTTTTACATCGGCTCCTGTTAATGCTTTCTTTGCCATCCTAGTTATAAAATTAATTTACTTATCGATGTATTGCACTTTTAGTAGTTTTAAAATTTTTTTATCTATTTTCACACTATTATATGTTAAGAAAGGCTTGGAAAATTTGTCCTGTGCAAATTTGGGTGAAATAGCTTTATTGGTTTGAAAGATATATACATTAAATTTATTAGGGAGCAGAGCTATGCCCACTTTTAATAACATTTCAAACCACAGGTGTCCCTCGTTCTTGCGATTCGTTGTACCAAATTTTTGTTCTATATCTTAGAGTATATATAGATAGAGTATAAAAATACATTTGTGGGATGATTTGGATGTGAAATATTGGTCGATCTATAAACTCATTGGAAGTAAGTGAAGATGGGCAATATTATAAGTATAATATTTGGGATTAATACAAAGTTGTGAGACTCATATTTAGTTTTGATCAATTTTTCAATTTATGACACAACAATCTTTTCAAACGGTTTATTAATTAATAGTCGGTACAAATCAAAAACTCATTGACTAAATTCGTCATAAGAATATTTTAACTGAGCATATGGGAACATCTCTAATATGGAAACATCAACAAAAATGTCGGCTAATTTAGGTGAGTTTCCAATTATATTGGGAGCGTAAAGTTATTTGTAGTTGTACTGTAAATTTTGCCATCGGGTTTATTTGATGGCGCATCGGGCAGAATGCAATCTCAATCTAATGAAAACAATACTTAATAATTACAATTACAGAATTTTTCGAAATCGTTACATAACTACCCATGTCGCACGGGTCGGTGGGTCGGCATGTTTTAATAAATGAAGAAAAAGTCGTTTTGAGTGGTTGAGAACAAATATATTGCTAATTTCTTAAAATTTGATGTTACACCAACTTTTGCGTGCGAGACAACAATACAAACAAATTAAACAAAATAAGTGACCATTTTCGCCATTAATCATATATTCTTCTTCATTATTGAAAACACTGGTCTACAGTGGTTTTCTTGCACTAGATGTAAGATCAATATTGGACATATTTGTGCTCACAATTCGTGATACTATTAATGATTTTCACTGATTAATCTGCACTGGTTTGATTTTTTATCTTAATTTGTATGTTACATAAAAAAATTGTAAACAAAGTAACAGGTAAATTTATAATGTCAGTTTTGATTAGAAAAATACTCGTAAGAGTACATCGAAGTATACAGAGAGAAAAATGTCGAAAACATATCTTCTATTCCAATAAAACTTCATTTATGGGCTTCCTTTTATAATTTTGCAATCAACAATGTCCTTTTAAAGACGAGCAGTAATATACCATCATGTGACGATTCCATCAATCATGATACTTTAATACCTTCCTTCCTTCAGTTCCAGATCCAGGTGGCACCGCTCGCTCTGTTCCTGACTATAATTTCTTAAATTATTCAAAAATTTAACCAGATCAGTGTGGAGATGGCTTAACTTTGTATTCATATTTGCTGCTAGAGTCCGAAAATTTATGATTACTTAGAAAATTTTTGACTATCAACAATTATCTTTTCGGAGGAAAGTGAAAGTGGAGTTCACGTGATGTTTGTATGCGCGAAAAAGGTGCGTTTTTTACATTTCAACATTTAATACTTTCACGAATAAATTCATAATCTGGACACTTAAAAACATCAAAAGGTGCTAAGATATCCAGGGCAACAAACAAAAATAATTTTTTTTGTAGAGCTGTGAAATCATTGGAAAATATTTACTTCTAGCAAACCATGTGTATGTACTGTTAAAGTTTAAATTTCCAAAATGATCTTATGCTCGCAACCGTAATATGGTATGAAGTATTATTACCAATTGATTGCCCGGAATTCCATGCAAAATTATCAAAATCTTATCAGGGTGCTCGTAAAGGCTACTGAGTTGTATGTTGATTCAACGGTGCTTGGCCCTTCGATGAAAAGCTACAGGGCCACCATCACCTTTACTCAAGAGCAATAAGAGAAGATGCAACAAAAAAGTGCAAACAAAGCTTGGTTGACCAAGGCAGGCAAATTAAAAGTCGGCGAGTCAGCAACTGATATACAAAATATGTTGTTGTTGTTGGGATGATGGTCGAGTGTAGGATTGTAAATGTGTGTGCGGCTTGCAATGCCAAGTTGGTAGCAATTGCAGATTAGCATGTCGATATCACGAAAAGGCCCACAGAATAAAAACACAATATATAAGCAAGTATACCTAGGTATATACTCGTATGTACATATATGCAGTGCTTATATAGAACTGCATTTTCGTGCGGCCAAGTGCGTTTGCACAACCTACATCCGTCCCTTTTGGGCTGATGCACAAACAATCGCTTTGAATCTATATTTTTTAGTCCGATTCTGTTGGTTCATTCATAAGCGGCGTGAGTAAACGCGTATGGCTGATTCGCTTTGTCATGATTGGAAAATGCCCGGTAGCAGTTGCGTTGTCGATATTTCTGCGCGTCGACAATAAATTTGGCATTGGTCAAACGTAGCCCCAAGGCAACTATGCAGACAGGCGAACGAAGACTCAGCAAGCACACAAGACCAAAGGATACAGCCAGATGTAAGAAGACGTTAAAAACAATGTTAGTAGAAGCTGCACTGAATCAGTATCGGTGTGTCGGCTATATCAACGTGCTTATCGCATCAAACTAGAGGAGGTAGAGGCGGCTCGCCATGGAGCCACCGAATCAAATCAGAATTTCTGTATATACCGCTCTGCCACACCCTCCCACTACAAGTTTTATACACCAGTCAGATTCGGCTACATCGTATGGCCCGAGGGAAATGTTAAAGCGCAAACGAAGCGGCTTGTGAGCAAGGAAAACAATATCAAAGGAGTAAGGAAGCACTGGGTGGAATGCAACCGATCTTTTCACATTTGTTCTCAATTGGAGATAATTTAATTATTTCAAATATTATGTACTATTTTCGCTCCAATAGATTAAATTATAATTAGCATTAATCATAGCAAACCAAAGGTTTAAAAGCATTAACAATTTACGTTCGAACTTTGATATTGAAATTTTAATTTTTTTTCTGTTTGCAAATTATTTTGACTAGAAAAAGACATCTACAAGAGTTTTTTAAATGGCATAGTGATAAATAGAGTCTCCATTTTTATGCAAAACATTATCCTAATTAGAAATATAGCACTTACTCTGAGGTTGATCAAACATCCAAGGTATCCGTGAAAAGAACAAAGAATTCTAACCTTAAGGACAAGTCGCGCTGTGCCGCAAAACTTATATCGGTAGTAAGGAGGTATTTGCAATATATTGTTATTGTATTGCTACGTATGCATGTTGTGTAAGCTGAATTGCTGCCAACTTCAACGTCGTAGCAGCTCCAGCCGTCATGGCGCATGACTCTAAGGTTGCCTCGCATGCGTAATATGTTGCCAATAAAACAGTAGGCAATCGACAGGTCTGCACGAAATCTGCCGTGGTTGGCGCAGTTGCAGCCGTCTACCAAGTAACGCCACAGACAGTGACTATCCGGTTGCATCGACAGCCTTGGATGAATGGGTCGCAACAACATAGGTGATATGCATTTTTATACCTTGAACAGGGCATATTAACTTTATAACACCCTGAAGGAAACGTCGGAGACCCTATATAAATATATATATATACAATATATATGTATACATGATTACCATGTCGAGCTGAGTTAATTTAGATTCCGTCTGTCTGACCCTCAGTTTTTCAGATATCGGTCTAAAATCTTGCACACGTCCATTTTCCCCAGAAGTTGCTCACGCGAAGTCCCAGCTATCGGACCACTATAGAATATAGCTGTCATACAAACTAGACGACTAAAATCCATTTCATGTATGGAAAGATTTTTATTTGACGAATTTTCATCACAAAATTTGGAATTAATAATTTTCCAAGACAGCGATACAATCTCCGAAGAAATTGTTCTAAGGGGCCACTATAGCATATAGCAGCCAGACAAACTGACCGATTCAAATCAAAGTAAATATCTTTTAATACCTATATCTTTTTTATACCATAAAAAATTCTCCTGTGAAGGGTATTATAGCTTCTGTGCAGCCGAAGTTGTTGTTTTTATTGTTTTAAATATTTACGCAACACATTGCCGAGCACCGTGTAATCAAGTTTTGCTGTTACCGGCTTATATTTTATCGTATATACATGACATTCTAACACCACCTTTACATTTTTACAGTAATCAAATCATCTTTCGGCGATGAGTCATATAAAATCATCACTTTATTGATATGAATTTCAAAAATTATGAGGTGTTAGGCCAGTCTTAAGTCTGAAAACTTATTTATGAGGTATAGAAAAGTGTTTTAAACCTCTTACTTTCAGACTTTAATAGAATCGATTTCCGTGTATAAGAAAATTGTTGACATATTTTCCAATCACAATTACTTTTTTTACATGTATCGTCAGACGTATTTTGCCGATAAAAACTGAATTTCACTGAGAAGGTTATTTCGCACAAAAGGTTCCAGCACTATAACACTATGACTGCTTCGAAATCAGAATTTATCAGCCGGATTGACTGAATATCTTTACCAATATATCTTTTATGTCAAAGCACTCCACAACGTGCACGTATTCAAACCATTTCAATCAATGACATAGAAATAATAACGAACAAACATTGCAGAAAGCAATTTAAAATAATTTTTACTGATGTCACAACAACAAAGAAACACTGGCTAACACTGCAATGGAGCGGTAACAAACAATTCGGGCATATGTTCTAATTTGTTGTTTCCTTTTTATTTCGATTTTATTTTCTATTTTGCATTTAAAACAGCGGATTTGACCTAATATCTTTTTGCTAAAGCGCGGTAATGCGCGCCCCACTCTCTACTGCGCGGGAGGGGTTCCACCCATTTGTAACAATCGCCGCTTCAACATTGTTGAATGGGCGACAATCAACGCTTAATTTAAGCGACGCCGACACCACCACGCCATGTCCTTAGCAGTTATGCATACAAGTGTGTATGTTCACAGCTTCGCCTTGCCGCATGCATCGCTTCGCTGCCACTGCAGCGACAACTCTCTATGGCAAGCATTACGCGCTCTTTTTATTTCACAAAAAATCACGGTTGAATGGCGCACTTTTTTAAATTTCTGAAATGGTCTTCCGCCTTTCATCCCTCAGCAGCCCAGCGCTCGAGACACATTCGAAATGGCCCATCAAATTCACTAGCGCTTTCTACTTCGCTTCTCATGACAATTCTTGCTTCGTTTTTTTTTCAGCTTGTTATTTTTTTCATCAGTTTTATGGTTTATTAAAAATATTCGCTTACTTAATGGCTTTGCACACTGCACGCGATGAAAAAAATTAATGCCCGTCGACTGTAGTTACTGGACTCGGTTGCCTCCCACCACTGCACCTGGCTCCTTCTCTCTTTTCGGCGTTTCCCAGCAATTTAATTGTTATTGCAAGATAATGCTTTTAACTGCAATTTTATTTGTGTTGCTACTGAAATCATTTGTACATACTCTTAAAAATTCCATTAAACATAACTACTTATAGACATTTTCTCTAATAAGTCGCAACATCGCACCAATCTGGTGTTCTTGGTGCCCTTTATTTATTGCAATTTCTTTTTGAATATTATGTAAGATTTTGGTTTAACTTTTAAGTAGATGTTTCTTGTAATAAAATTATTGTTGAAATCCTGTTTATTTTTTTGAACCGGGGAACTTGATATTCATATGAGATTACTTCACCGCACAAAACTACCATACAAGGTACAAACGGTCAATTCAAAGCGTTTATGGATGAAGGATGAGTTAAGAAGAACTTGACCAAACTAAAACTGTCATACAGGAAACAGTTAAATAAATAATAACGTTTAATTTTTATGCCCCCAAAGGTACAATAGATCATAGGTTGTGCATACCACCATAGCTTTCTATCATCTTAATCCCGCTTGCAAAGGGTTACACCGTAACACGTTTGTGTGACCGTATAATATCAAGAATCATATATATTTCAGTTCCGGCTATCAAGAAGTTTAAGATGCGTAGGTGGTTGGCCTTCTGCATTCGCGTATAGTTCCGGCCCTAGCTTCGGCGTTGTCTTTTCGCAACACCAACCCAATTTGCCTATTTTAGTTGATAGTTAGTCGGCCCCCTATAGAAACTATCGATTGTCTACCCAAATAAGTTTTGTTTTTTAATCTCCTAACAGTTTTATACGCTCTTAGCATTTTGTATTCATACAAAAACCTGGAATTTATTATGTCAATTACATAACATCAATTTTTCGGAATTGGTAAAAAATAGGAAATTTTTCGAGAATTTTTTGCTTTTTTTATTGAAAATATATTAACATGACTCTATTCTCGAAATGTGTCCAGTGTTCTTTTGACTGTCCTAAAAATTCAAAAAGAAGCAATATTGCTCAGTATAAATCACAGGACGCCAAATAATAAAAAAAGGAATTGGAAAGAAGGGAGCTACATTTTCTTTTGACTATTTCAAGCTTACAATCCAAAGTTTGACACGAAGTTTGTAACACTCTGAAGGAAAAGTCGGAGATTCAATAAAATGTATATGTAGATGCTCAGCATGATGAGCTGAGTCGATT